GTCCCACAGTGTGATCCTGCCATGATGTTACATTGCTCCCTTCACTGTGGGATGGTCCAGGGCCAGGCCCCCTACAATTTAGGCATCACGTGAATCAACAGTATCACCCAGCCTCAGCACACTTCGAGGTGCTGCTTAGCTCAGGGGCTGGAAAAGCTCAGCTTCAGAGGACAAGACTCCAGAATGAGAAGGAAGGCAGGATGGGGCTGGACCTGTCTGGCCAGTGGGAGCGAGGCTGGCACCTTAGGTGGCAGGCAGTTCAGTGCAATGGTTATGAGTCCAGGCTGTGTGGTTAGACAGTCTGATTCCTAACTAACCAATTAATCACAGGCACATTTCTAAACCTCGCCAGTTTCAGTGGCAACACTGAGTTCCCTTATTTCAAAAATGGAAAAAATATGTTCTGATAATTACAAGAGCTAACACGTACAATTTGTCTGGTATGTAGCAAGCACTCAATAAATGTTAGATATTGTCATCAAAAGCAAACTAGATTCACAATATATGTAAGTCAAACCATTATGCTGTATACCTTACACTTATACAGTGATGTATGTCAATTATATCTCAATAAAACTAGAAACATTGGTCCTGGCCCATGTGGCTCAGTTGGCTGAGCATCCTCCTCCCATGCACTGAGAAGCTGCCAGTTCAATTCTGGGTCAGGGCACATGCCCAGGTTGTGCCACCTGGGCTCAGTATCCAGTAGGGGGGGGTGCAGGAGGCAGCTGATCAATGTTTCTCTCTCCCTCTCCCTTCCTCTCTTTCTCAAATCAATAAAAACGTATTTTTAAAAAGCTAGAAACATTGAGCAAAATAAATAAAAAACAATAACTATACATTAAATTTTTTAAAAGAGTGAACAGACAGTTTCCAAATGGCATCTGATGTGTGGCTGATGTCTTTTTGTCCCTGGGCCCAGGTTCTCAGATGGACAAGCAGAGGGGCACGTTTAGCTGGGCTTTCTATTATGGCTTAGCTTCAGTTCTGCAAATGTTGATTTTGTGTTGGATTAATTTCTGTGCAGAGGAGGTGGCATGAAAGTAGTCTGAGCTCTCAGTTGGCTATTTTCCCTTTATGCTCTACCTGGTCACTACAAGCTGTCTAGTGAATATTAATGAAGCGGCTTTAATAAATGTCTACCTGAGAGAATTGCAGCGTGGTAACCTCTGACCTTTCATCCTGTCTCCCCCGTTTGCTGGGTTTTGAGAGCGACAATTATGGTTGTAACATCAATTTTTATTAATAAGGAAAGAGACGAAATTAGGAAAATGAAAGGCTTGGGTGCAATCGGCTGCGCTACTTTGTAAAACGTGCATTAACTATTAACATTAACTTTGTTCTGGGCCCCGTGCCAGCTGCTTTCCTCAGGCTCTGCCCTTTAGTTGAAGTTATTTGAGCTCTGCTGTCCTGAGGACCAGAAAAGTCGAGTAACCTACTCCAAGTCACACAGCTGCAAGTGGCAGGTTCCCACTCCATTATTAGCCACATCCAACTATCCATCCACTCCTTAAATATTTTTGAAGTGCCTGCTATGTGTGATTCACTGTTCTAGGTGCTGGGGACATAATATGGAGTCAGAGAGACCCTATCCTGGTCCTCAAGGAGCTCCCAGCCTTCTGAGGACAGGCTGACAGACAGGCAATTGTGATTTGTTGCAACAGAGAGAGTGGGGTGGTATAGGCATTCCAGGCAGGCAAACCCCGCCTCTGCTCAGGCCCAGGGGCAAAGGTGAACAAGGCACTTTGGGGAACTGCAAGGCATTCACTGAGGTGTTAAATGTTATATGATAAATAAAGACCCAGGAAGGGCCTGTGGGTGCTCAGGGGAGGGGATCACATCTCTGCTCAGGCTGACTTTGAGTTTACTTGACAGATTGTGCTGTGTGACTCTGGTGTTATCCAAAGCAGTAATAATAGGCTCTGAGGATGATGATGTGTGTTCTCTGATTATAATTGTCCAAGACACAACAGGACTGAAAGTTTCACCAGGGTTGCTCTGTGTTGCTCTGTGTTCTTGGGCCACAGCAGAAGACAGGGGCAGCCCTGCCTGGGCCACAGCACATCAGCTTCACCGGACAAGTGACCGAAACAAGACACAGTATGCGTACTCAGGCCCAGGGCGAGGTCCTGATGTCCTGGAGGGGCAAAACATGTCTCCCAATCACATCGCCTGACCTTGCCCCCTAACACTGTGTGCCAGGCTGTGCTCCTGAGCTGCACAGGTTCCGATTCCCTGAGTTTTCACAATAACCTTACAAGGTGGAGCAATCACCCCTGATGCTTCAGTCGAGGAAAATGAGGCACAGAGAGCTTAAGTAAGATGCCCATGCTTTCACACTAGTAGGCGCCAGAACCAGAATTTAAACCCCCTGGTAGCATGGCCCTAGGGCAGCCGTGGGCAACCTATGGCCCGCGGGCCAGATCCAGCCCGTTTGAAATGAATAAAACTAAAAAAAAAGAAAAAAGACTGTACCCTTTTATGTAATGATGTTTACTTTGAATTTATATTAGTTCACACAAACTCCATCCATGCTTTTGTTCCGGCCCTCCGGTCCAGTTTAAGAACCCATTGTGGCCCTCGAGTCAAAAAGTTTGCCCACCCCTGCCCTAGAGTCTATGATCTTATTCATGGTCCTGTATCCTCTTCTCCAACTGTCGGAAGTATATTCAAATTGCTGAAAGCTCATGCAGTCATCTGTGTGAAGTATGGAGGATGAGCCATAGTCCCATCCCCTAGCAGTACATGAATTAAAGCCATTTATGGGCAACCTCGTGGGTAAAGCTACCACCACCCACACTCGCCCCCAGTACTTTTGACTCATCGCTTCTACACCTTCACCAAACAACCAGATGTTGTAAAGCTTGTTACTTTCAGTGGAGCAGGAAGCAAAGGCATCACGCGGAACCCTGGCTCCACGGAAGTGGAGCCACTGCCTGTAAGTGGGTGCTTTTTTCACTCAAGCCTGAGCCCTGGCTCCTCCTCCAATGGCTCCAGAAAGGCTCAGCCTCGGGTGGTGGTGGGGACACTGTGGCAGCCTCTTGTTCCCAGGGAAGCACCTTAGGGTTCATGACACGATCGCGTCCCCCTCCAGGAGATTCTGATTAAGTGGCTCAGGGAAGGGCTGGGGTATGCAGATTCAAAAAAACCCCACACCAACTCAGATAAACTGAACTGGTCACCAGATGGGGCTCATTAATATGCTGGTCAACAGAGAAAGGTGAAGAATGCCTGTCACCAGTGATGATGATGATGGTGATGACAAATTAAACAAATGAATGAAGTAATACTTCCATGAAGCCTTGGGATTTAGATGCTCCTAGACCAGGGGTGGGCAACCCCTGGCACGCGTGCCAAACATGGCACGCCAGTAACTTTTGCTGGCACGCGAAACCCTCTCTTACAATCTTCCATTTACAATTTTTTTCTTAATATCGACTTTTTATTTTTCAGATTAATTCAGTGTAGGTGCACCTTAGATAAATAAATAATTTTACATAACATGTATACATTAAAAAATAAATGTATTTTCCATCATATACTGTGTTTTTGTCGCTCGAATAAATTTTATTATTTCTTCAAGGTTCTTCACATATGTACAACTTAAGAGATATCAAGTAGGCGTAACATGTTCTCAAAAAATTAGGGTTGGCACGCAGAAGAATTTTGAGTCAGAGATTTTGCTGGTTTTGGCACGCACTCACAAAAAGGTTGCCCACCCCTGTCCTAGACTATTATGTTAGTTCATTAGAAATAAATAGAGCTCCCCGCCTTTGCCGTGCCACAGTCTTGTCAAGAGACCCATCTCTGTTATGGAAAGTTATAACCTGGGACCTCTGTGTCCCTTTCCCATAATCAACGTGCCGCTCTGTGCCTCTCGGTCCCTCTTCCCTCAGGTTTATTCAGATTGCTCCCCAGTATTCTTTTCTTCCTATATTTACGCTCTAGTTCGTTCGCTTGCTTACCTTGAGGTTAGTGGTTCCTCCCCAGCTCTGCTTTTATCTGCATAGGAATTTCTGCTTCTCTTGTTACATTAGCCTAAGTGAACCTGAGGTCTGAGAGATCATTTTCCTCTCTGCCTATCAGAATCGCTGGTAGAGAAGGAAAGGAGGTCTGTTCAGATGCAGAGAACAACTCTGTATGAAATAGCAAGACAGACATATGAGGGGTATTTTCCCCGAAATTCATAAAAACAAGGTCATCAACGTCTTGTGGGGACACTATGGATGCTTTGCTGAAAAATAAAAGACAGCACTAAAGACCTTTCCGGTTCCTTGTTATTACGTTATTATAATGATTAACATTGCTACTGTGGAAATGATACAATTAACTATTTTCCTGACGGGTGCTGATTCTATCTTCAAATCTTGACTCTCTGTAGTGTATAAATCTTGAGCATTCTTCACATCTGCTGGTTTATGGGTTCCTTCTTCCTTCCCTCCCTCCCTCCCTCCCTCCCTCCCTCCCTCCCTCCCTCCCTCCCTCCCTCCTTCCTTCCTTCCTTCCTTCCTTCCTTCCTTCCTTCCCTCATGCATATATATTTTCAGAAAGTACAAAAATTTGAAGAAAAAAACTACCACCAAACACACACACAAAGAACCCCTTAACTTTAATACATATGTGGTTCAACTGGAAATATAAAGAACTATAATTTTATTGCCATGGCCTAATTTTGTCCATGCTGTTTAAAACGAACAAGTTACGATTTTGGAAAATACCAGAAAAGCAAAGTGCAGCAGCTCTATTATCTTACGTTCTAGGGAAGAGGCACCCCACATCTTGATAGCAGGCCCTCTGTGATTTTAGCGTTTCTCCACTACGAGCTGTCTGCATAGCACGGGGCACCCAAATCATTCTTTAGGTTGAGCGTCAGAGCCACTGGCCCGGAAGGAGAAGCCCACTCACTGTTTTGCTTGCACTGCCCCTGCCTGAATGCAGAGGGCTGCAGAAGCAATGTGGTCTGAGGCGAAATTGTACAATAATGGCTTGCAATACACAACTGACTCCACGTGTGAAATTTAATGCAATATTAGCCCTCAAAAAAGGTTTCGTCTTCTCAAGAACACGTCCTTGCCATCACTTAAGAGGCAATACTAGGGTAGCATATCTCATTTTGGTTCTTTTACTTTCAGGAAACTTCCAGTCTGCAGATTCCCAGTCAGATTCCTTCTACGATTCCAAAGGTTTCTGGGCTCTTGGAGCAGCCCTGTTCTGGATTCCAGGCTCAAGCTTTACTAGATGTGGTAAATGTTGGGCTGAAATTGCACAGCACGTCTTATTTGCATTAAAACTAAATCTTATTTGCATTTTGGAGTGGCATTAAAATAAATACAGTACAAAATCTTAACATTCATAATAGGAAATCTGTAAGTCCTTCCCACCTTTTTCATGCTTGAAGCTACTAGGTGAAGTGCTTTTGTAAAAACAGCTCCTTAATTTTCAGTACTTCTTAAGTGACCTCAGTTTGGCTGTATAATAGGTACATGGCTCCCAACTTCAGTCAATGCCAGAATCATTGTTTCTGGAAGGATAAACACATATCATAAACTCACACAATAGTTTGAGGCAATTAATAACAAGCAGAAAAAGAAGGAGCTATGTGCTACGAAATCTATGGCTCTCTGTAAGAATTCACAGGTCATCAGATTGGATTTACTTGTCCTTACTACAAGCTGTGCCCTAAGGAAAGTCATGACTAGCTTATTTCTTCAGTCAGCAGGCATATAGGTGTGTTTGAATATTCATTATGTATAGAAAAGTATGACAATATGGAATAAAATAATCTTAAAGGACTATTACTATTATGTGGAAGTGATTATTTAGAATAGACACATTTTTGGGGGATATTGTTGAAGTATAATTTTCCCCAGATTATTGAAACATCCCCTAAGCACCAAAAGTTTAAAATAGAATTTTTGATTGTTCATTTTGTTGAACTTTTTGATAGACATCTTTTAAAACTGATTTACATTGTATTTTGAATATAATTTAAGTCTTTTAAAATTTTGATTTTAGAGAGAGGAAGGGGGGGGAGAGAGAGAGAGACAGACATCAATTTGTTGTTCCACTTATTTATGCATTCACTGGTTGATTCTTGTATATACTCTGACCAGGAATTCACCCTGCAACCTTGGCATACTGGGGCGATGCTCTAACCAAATGAGCTACCCAGCCAGGGATAATTTAACTTTTTTAATGAGCCAGTTTGAATGTCATAATTGAGAGGCTGAGAGTTAAGTGGTATAATCAGAAACAAGGGATCAGTACCGCTTTCCTCCCCAAAGCCCTGCTCTTCCTCCTCATTGTCACGCATCAAATTTTCTAGGGCAGGAATATGGATACTACCCTTGATCCCCTCCCCTGCCATCCAATCAACTATGCTATCTGAATGCCTCTTGAAATGCTTACTCTTCTTCTTCACCAATGGTACTACTGTAGTTCAGGCCATTCATGTCTCTTCGTTAGATGGTAGAGTTTTTTAAACTGGTGTCCCTGCCTCTATGTAGTAGTCTGACCATCCTGAAGTCCATTATCCATTTTATAGCCAAAGTGGTCCTTCTGAAAATGCATGTCTGATCTAAGCATTCCTCTGCCTAAAACCCTTTAATGGCTTCCTATTGCTCTCAGAATAAAACCCAACTCCTTAATGTGGCCTCCTTGGAGGCCCTTCGCGATTCTATCTCTATTAGCTCTGCTTTTGTCTGTTTGATCTAGCTGTGTCTGATAGATTGTTAAAGTTTCCCACTCAGATGGTGGGCTTGTCAATTTCTTTTTGTAATTTTGGTGGTTTTGCTTTCTGTAATTGAAAGCAATGTTATTAGGAACATTTAACTTCTCGGTAATGACCCTCTTTGTTTCTATGAATACATTTGGTTTAAAAGACTTTTTGAAATCTAATATTAATAATGTTTCATAGGTTTTCTTTTTTTATCCCTTTATGTCCAGTATATCAGGGGTTTAGGTTTGTGTGTCTTTTGCTAGCATTATATGCCTGAATATTATTTTATACCAATCTGATAATCTGTCTTTTATTAAGAAATTTAAATCTATTCAGTTTTGTGTTTGCTGTTATATTGGTACTTAATTCTACTATTGTCTTTTGTGTGTCATGTTTGACATGCCTTTCTTTTCGTCGTTTTTTTCTCCTTTTCTGTCTTCTATATAGAATGACCAGTTTTCTGTATCAAATTTCCCTAACCCTTGGCCACATTTTTCTTGCTGTGGTTTTAGAAGTTCTGTATCAGCTTTTTGTTAATATAAAGTATTCAGACAAAGTCATTATTTTTATACCTCTCCCAAACATGACAAAGGCCTTAGCATGCTTTAACTACCCATTGTGTATTTCCATTCTTCTGATTTTTTTAAACAGTAGAGTAGTGAACCGAGTCCAGCACGGCCAGGGGTGAACCTGAGAAGGGGCGGTGAAGAATTAAAGAAGACAGACAAGAGAATATAGTTGGGACCAGGTGGGATCACTGTGCCTGGATGAGGAAACTGACACAGCCTGTAAATTGAAGCTTTATAGTCAGATCACACAAAGCAAAACAAGGGCAAGATATTTACAGTGTTCTTGTGACTTTCAAATTTGCTTCTTTCCTGTTGTTGCCATTCTCTGAACTCGTTCAAGCCTTGTTTTGGCAGCACTTCCTGCACACCCTGCAGCCCACATCCCTTAGCTACCTGAGGGTCGGACTATAAGGTCAAGCTTACAGCCATAGCCCTTTGGCTATAATTGTGCTGGGAGGGCTTTGTCCTCCAAGCTGGGACTCGTATGTGGCTTTGCCACAAGTCAGTCCAAGGCTTGAGCCTGTCCAAACGTGGTAGCCGCTCTCCACAGAGTAGTTATTTTTAATTCTACCATCACATTTTATTTATTTCTTCCCTCACCAGTACTTCTTGCATGCTTTCTCTCTGGGCTTATTTTTCTTACTGGGAGAAGTACATTCTTCAGTAGTCCTTTGGGTGTAGGTCTGTGAGTGTTAAACTCTTTTCGCCTTTTATGATTGAAATGTCTTTGTTGTGCTTTCTCCCTTAAATGATAGTTTATCTGGAAATTGAATTCTTGGTTGAGAGTGTTCCATTCAATATTTCTAAGATACTCAGTTGTCTTTTCTGTTGTTGCTTTTTAGCACTCTAAGTATAGTCCTTTTGTAGATAATCAATGTTTTCCCTTCGGTAGCTTGAGATTTTATCTTTTTTACCATATTGCTCTGTGGTTTCACTATGTGATAAAAGTGTTACTTCACTCTTATTTGTCTTGCTCATTACAGGTGTTCTGATGTTTTGATTAGAAAACTTCCGTCATTTTTTCCTTTTTTTAAAGTATAGCTTCTCTCCTCTTCTCTTCAGTTTTCAGTTTTTCCTTCTGGAACTCCTGTGAGACATATGTTGGCACCACTCAACAGAATCCTGATGAATCTTAACTTTTATTCACATTTTTAAAATATCTTTATTCTCTACTGTGTTCTGGGTGAATTCTTCAGAGCATCCCTTTAATTCATTACTTTTCCTCTTAAACTTTGGCAAGTTCCCCAGTTACCTCAATCTGTTGACTTTTTTTCATCTCAGTGATCATATTTTTTTTTAAGTTTTCTATTAGTTATTTTTCATATTTATCTGTTCTCAAATCAGCTTGCATTTGTTCCCTCATTTCTTCGTTGCTTTGAGAATGCAGAAATATTAAAAAAAATCGTTGTCAGGCAGTTCCATGTAGTAAATTCATGTTCTGATTGTTCATTCTGTTGGCCTTTCTTAGTATTAGATATTTGTATGTGTTTGGAACTTGGTGGTTATATCACGCTGAATGGGAAGTTTTTATATGCTTTTATCTGTTTTCCTCTTGCTGCCGCTATGCTTGCCTCTCCATGTCCAGCGATTTTTGCCCCCACCTGACCCCTTGGACCGCCATTCTAGAATCAGGTCTAATGTTGGCATTTTGATGCTCCTACCCCACAGTGATGTTGGGGATTTTGCAGAACCAATCACATGGCCAGTTGCTTGGCTTGGTTCCTGACTCCAAGGCCGTATCTTTGTCCTCTGCTTCTCCAGGCAGCGGGTTGGCTGTTTGCTTCCAGCCTCCGTTCACAAGTACGGCTTCAGGAACTAGCATGGCTCCTGTCCTGCACCTTGTGGGGAGCATCTTTAGTTCCTATCCCTCTGCAGGAGACGGACATCTTGGCTTTTGGAACAGGCCCACTGGGGTCCTGTGGCTTCAGACTTGCTGTTCTATTTCTGATCTATGAAAAGGTTTGTTTTTGAGCCTGGTTATGTCTTTTTGGTTTTCTCTTTGTATATTTTAGCTATCATTGTTATTTGTGTGCAGTAAAGGGAGTGGATCAAAACATAATCTTGCTGTACCAATTTGAGCAGAAATCTTTCTGTATTTTCCTCTTCAGCGTTCTCTCTCGCCATCCCTTCCTCTACAATCTATGTTCTAGCCATAGTTAATTTCTTTAGAGGATCAATTAATTGAATGTCCTGCCCCCATCACTCTGCATAAAGTTTGGATGAAATAAGCCAAAGAGGATAGGCAAGTGTAGATTTTTTAAATGTCAGCTTTATTGCAGGTAAGTTAATAAAGAACAAAGTTCTAGATTTGTAACCCAAAGGAGCTTGCTAACATTTTTCAACTCTCAACCATCACAGATTTTAGGCTGAGAACAGCCCACTAAAGGGGAAGGTTGGGTTTGCAGGGCAGACACATTTATCCAAGATCGTTGTCAGCACTGGTGTTCTGGGGCAGAGAACAAGAGAAAGAATCCTCAGTAATTAGGGGTCTTTTTAAAAAAATATATATTTTATTGATTTTTTACAGAGAGGAAGGGAGAGAGAGAGTTAGAAACATCGATGAGAGAGAAAGATCGATCAGCTGCCTCCTGCACACCTCCTACTGGGGATGTGCCTGCAACCAAGGTACATGCCCTTGACCAGAATCGAACCTGGGACCTTTCAGTCCGCAGGCCGACACTCTATCCACTGAGCCAAACCAGTCAGGGCAATTAGGGGTCTTTTTACTAGATTAACTCCATCCAGTCAAAAACTATGAGCGAATGAATGTAACAGTACTCATCAGTCAAGTTAACTCCCTTCTGAATGTGAAGGTTAGTGGTGTAGGAGCCAAAAGTTACAGTCTAATGAATAATCTTCCAACACCTTCCTCTGCCCCTGTGGGAAATGGGGCTAGGGGAAAGGAGTTTCCCCTAACACATGCCATGCTCTGCCTCCTTCATCCAAGTCTTTTCACAGGTTCTCCCCACCTCTTTTTCTGCCAACTCCTTACTCATCCTGATGCCTAGAATAAAAATAGTAGTTACTATTTATTGAATCCCAACTATGGGAAGTACTATCACATACATTACCTCATTTAATCCTCATAACAACTCTATAAGGTATGGATTTTTATTTTAATTTTAGGGGCAAAGAAATTAAGCATAAGGAAGGTTTTCAAGATCACATAAGTAAATGGTGGAGGTAGGATTAGATCCAGGGTTCTCTAGTTTCAGAACTTATATTCTTTTCATTATATCCAGCTGCTTCCCATATTTTATTCATCTTTGGACATGCTCAATACCATTTAATGAATGAATATGTAAATCAGTGAAACATTCTCAGGCTAACTGCCTTGAGTGGATTAGAAACAACTGTAATATGAGGATTTATAAAGAATGCTTCACCTCCTTTGGCATCAGATTGCTCTCTATAAAGATGACATGAACATCCGATTTCGAAGAGCTGTGTAGGGGCTGCAAGGTTTGACATATCTCTGCTGTCACCTCTGTCCAGCCCTTTCAATTTTAGATCTTCCCCTGGCTGCCCAAGAAGTCAATTGCTCTCTCTACAGGGGATGAGCTTGCAATCCCTCCCTGCATGGGGCCACGCCCAATCTACCGGGCTGCACTGGCCAGGGCTGTTGTCATTATTGTATTTGAAAATCTAAGAGAAAAGAGGTCAGTGCTCCTGACTAAACAGTCGGACATTGCTTGTTTTAAAAATTCTTGCAGCACAAGGGTTGAAAATCGCTGCATGGAAGAATACAGAAAGAGCAAGGCTAAAGTCTGGTCACTTTTTTCCCCATGTATTTTTTCCATTTCCTACATTTCTCTACACATGGTCATGTCTGGTAGTTTCTTCTCTAACATCTTCCTTGGATATATTGGGAACTAGTTGAAAGTAAGAAGAACAGGTTATATAAGTAAATCAAAAGACTCTTTTTTCAACTGTATCTTTTCCCCTCTAGCCTATGAATCTAGTTTAATTAACAGAGAGCTAGAAGAAATGTGTGTACTGGGTGTTAAAATTGTTTCAACAATGGAAAAGTAAACATATGACTGAACAATACAAGTAATTTTTATATTGCAATACATAAGTGAGTTTCAGGAATGATCCTATAAAACTGAAATATGGAGGGGGTAAATGTTGCTTGGATGGAATTTAATGCTTTTAATTTCCTAAAATGCTATTTAATTTATATAGATTTGTAAAAGGGAAATCACCGCTTTGTGACCACTTTGGAATGCTGTCTATGCCTTTGATCAGAGCATAACCACTCTTGGAAGATAACAGCTTAGACCCTCTAGAATGACATCTGTCCCTGTTGCATATATATTTATTGATTTATTTCACGTACTCTCTGCTTTCTGTTGCTTACCCTCTGATGGACTCATTCACGTGTTCACCTTGATAAAACGGAGTCCACCTATTTGAAATCTGATCTTAACTTTTCCAAGTACCAGTTTCATTAAAATTATTTATTTATTTAATTATAAACGCAACACAAACAGCACCCATGGGGGGAAATCATAGGTAATACCAACATCTTAACAGCTATGGTATTTTTCAAGTATTCCCTTTTGATTTTTTATATGCATATTTTTATATACTCATGTCCTATTAGCAACTTCTTTTAAAAACACACACAAAACAGTACTGATTATTTTAAAACTCATTTCAGACAGACCTAGTCTCTAGAAGATAATATATACACACACCTTTTGATGCCAGTGTAGGATTGTAATAAAGTAACTGATACCATCATCAACGGCTTTAGAATTGCAGACTGCTTGCAGTAACCCCCAACTTAAATAAGCAAAACAGGCAAAGGCAAGAAAATGGAAGGGGCACAAATAAGCCTGCTTCTCGGGCTAACAGGTTGAAGCTGCTTAAGTCACAGTTGTCAGCTAGGTGATGGCAGGTTTCAGTTATCTCCCTGGTTAATGATTTGGTGTCAACCTAGATAGTATTTACTTTCCCAGACTCACGTAACTTGCTATTTTATCCAGAGGTCAATATTTATTTTCCCTCTTCTTTTTTGTGGAAAATAATGACCTTGAAGGTAGGAAACCAATGTGTTTTCAGAGAGGCTGGGCATTGGAAGCCTACTCATACAATTGACACGTTTTACTATTTAAAGGCGCACTGGGAAGGCAGAAGTTCCTTACAGTCGCTTCCCAAGTGCCAGCAGCCATCTCACTCAGGACTGGGCGCCCTTCCTGCCAGCCTGCCGGGCGAACATGGGCGCTGGCCCTTCACACGTGTCTGTCTTTGGTTTGGCGAAGCAGGGCCCGTGACCATGACTTCTTTTGTCCTATGGTAGGTAGGCAGACATGCGGAGCTTCTGGGTAGTGCAGCCTGGAATGGACTTCGAACTGTGCCAATGAGCATAAGGCTATTTTGCTTGTTTTTCAACTCACGGCTGACGTTTCCCCTCGCTGCCATTTAAGGGCCTCCTCTCTAATTCCCAGTCATCAGTGAGGGTGTGTGGAGAGGATGGCAGTTAACTATCTGAATAAAACACAACCTGGAAGCAAGAATACACACACACACACACACACACACACACACACACACACTCTGAGTGGCCAGATTATTATGACCCCCATCAGTACTTCATTGACACTTCCAAAAATACTGAATATTGAAAACTTCCTAAGCAAATACTCTCAAGGTTTTATTATTACTATTATTTGCATAACTAATTCACTTCATTGTACTGATGGGGTGTCATAATAATCTCACCTCTCTCTCTCTCTCTCCATATATATATATATATATATATATATATATATATATATATATATATATATATATATATATAATTTTTTTTACTTAATACTATGGACAGCAGAATCCACTCAGCGTTGAGCCTGATGTGAACGCACTGTGGTCTTGGGGCTCTGGCACCCCCTCATTGACACATCTCTTACATGGGGGGGGGGGGGGGAGGCGGTGGTGAGGACCCTGGACCGGGACAAGGCTCTGTCCTAGATCCCTAGGAAAGGAACCCAATGGGAAGGGCAAGGTGGCCGTTCTATTTTTAACACAGAGCCTGGCACAAGGGCTGGCGCTCATTATTGCGGCCTCGGGTGCCCCGCCACGTGCACATGGGCCGCGTGGAGAAAGTTGAGACCTCGTCGTGGGCCCTAGGAACCCCTGGTCCTGGTCGGTAACCGGGGAGAGTAACAGGGGAACCTCGGCCGCCAGAACCCTTGGAGCCGTGACACTCACCGGCGGCGAACCCCCCACGACCCAGCCTCCCCTCGCTCGCCCGAACGCCGGGGCGTCCCCCACCCCATGGCGGCGCGCTCGGCACCGGCGGGGTTACCGGAGAAGCGCCGGTGGCGGCCGGCTTCCCTCGCGGGTCCACACGGCGGCGGCAGGGAGCTTCCGGGGGCGCGGGCGCCGCAGCGGCGCGAGGCCGGAGCGCGGCCGGCGGGCGGGGGCGGGGCGGGCGGGCGGAGCGTGCGCGCGCACCTCGCACTCGCCGCCCGGGGACGCCCACTCGCGAGTCGGGGCAGTGAGGCCAGTGCGTGCCCGCAGCCCCCGCCCGGCCCCTCTCCCGCGTGTGCCCAACGGGTGTGGGCCCCGGCCGTGCGGCGCTCCCCGGCCCGAGGCGGCGGGGACCAGGGCCCGCTCGCAGCCCCGCGCCGCGTGGACGCACCGCCCCTCCCGCAGCCGCCTCCGAGCGAGCCGCTGCGAGGACCGGAGGCGGCCCCGAGGAGGCCCTCCCGGCGGCCGGGCCGACCTCCCCGCCCGAGGCGCCGCTGCTCCCGCGCGCTCGGGGCCGCCGCCGCCTCTCCGGAGCCGAGCGAGGAATGAGCAGGCGCCGGGCCCGCGCTCTCGGAACGAGGGGCCGCGGCTCGGCTTCTCCTCCCGCCGCGGAGCCGCGGGGGCTCGGTCAGCGCGTCCGGGCGCGGCGGGGACAGCGGCGGCCTCGCTCGGGGGGCAGGCGCCCGGGTTAACTCCACCGGCCGCCGGGAGGAGGAGGAGGAGGAGGAGGAGCCGGCGGGGCGGCCCGCGCTCCCTCCCCGCGCGACGCCCGGGCTCCTCAGTGGCCGCCGGAGGAGGAAGTTCCGCTCCTGACAGAGCCGCGCGGTAGCGACAGCGGCGACGCGGCGGCGGCCGGGAGGGCGCTGGGGCTCGGGACGCGGATGCCCTGCGCGCCAGCCGTCCGGTGGGCAGTGTCGAGCCCTCCCCGGAGCCGGGGCCGTGTCGGGCGGCGCGGGCGTCCGAGACCTGCTGCCGGTCCGCCCGGCGCGGTGGGAGACCGCCCTCCCTGTCGGCCGACTTCCGAGGAGACCCTGGTTTTTCCCGCCGCCGAGGGTGAGAGACCGCGGGACCCGAGCCTCCGAGGCGGCGAAGGGAACCTTCCCTGACTGACTCCGCGGATCGGGCCGGGCGGCCTTCGGGGGCGCGAGACCCCCTCGGAGCACTCCGGGGCGCCGGCCTGGAAGAAGCCGCCGCCGGGCGTCCTCGCTGCGGCGCTGCCCGCCTGGCCCACCCCCGGGCATGAGGAGGAGGCTGGCGAGAGCCCCGCACCCCCAGGCGAAGGCGCTGTCAGCGGGCGTGAGCCGCCAGTCGCGGGGCCACACGTGTGTCAGTGTCCCGGGCCCGCGCGGGGAGGCGCCCTGTGGAGGGGGCGCCGCGGTCCTGGCCGAGGAGAGCCGCTGCGTTCCCCCGTCGCTGCCCGGGCTGGGAAGGGGGTCCCATGTGTCGCGCATTGGCCGGGAGAGGAGGACTGGATAGCGCATTTCGTGCGAGAGCGTGAAGGATGACCGCCCCCGCGCTGCTGCCCCTGTCCGGACGGAGGATCCCGCCCCTGAACCTGGGGCCGCCCTCCTTCCCGCACCACCGGGCCACCTTGAGACTTTCCGAGAAGTTTATCCTCCTGCTCATCCTCAGTGCCTTCATCACCCTGTGTTTTGGGGCATTCTTCTTCCTTCCAGACTCTTCGAAACACAAACGCTTTGATCTGGGTTTGGAAGACGTGCTGATTCCGCACGTCGATGCCCACAAAGGGGCGAAGAACCCCGGAGGCTTCCTGATTCACGGGCCCGATGAGCATCGACACAGGTTGGTTCATTTCACAAGTTGTGGTGGTGACATTGGGCAGAGCAAGGTATGATTTATTGCATCAGATCTGTCGTTTGTGTGAGGTGTGTGTGTGTGTGTGTTGTTTTTTTTCTGCTCCGCCTTCTTTTTTCGGTAAAATGTAATTTTCCCCGAGTTGTGAGACTTGTTATTTCAAAACTGGTTTAGTAGAACCATGGCCTGAAAGGGCTCCTGGAGCCCCATGTAGTGTCCAGCGCCTTCGTTTTGTACAGGAGAAGCATTTGTGTCCAGGGGTAACCTAGAGAAATAGTGACCTAGGTTGTGCCTTCATTTATTAAGAATGTGTTGCATTCGGTCATTGTGCCATCCGGTGAAATAGATGTATTGATTGCATCCTGACAGCTTCTACGGGTTTGTCCTCTCCTAAAGGGCTCTCGTTCTCTGACTTTGCAATTAAACTTAGTAGTGAATCTTAGCTTTTTAGGAAGACAAAGACGGGCTGAATATATACCTGTCATTTTATATATATATGTGTGTGTGTGTATATATTTGAAAGAAGGGAGAGGGAGAGAGAAACATCCATGATGAGAGAGAATCATTGATCGGGTTGCCTCCTCCTGAGGTTCGAGCCTGCAACCCCAGCATGTGCCCTGACGGGAAGTCGGACTGTGATCTCCTGGTTCATAGGTCCACACTCAACTACTGGGCCACGTTGGCCCGGCCTCATTTCTTAACATGCAGAAATGCCCTGGTTGTTGTTATTTTCAGGGGATGCCTTTGGGGGCTCTATGTGGAATCAGTTAAGTTAAAGATGCCATTGAATCCTGTCGTTTCACTTTGAGAGTCATGTAGACAAAATCTGGTTTATGTTTTAAAATTTAATTTTACCCTTATATATATATTTAGTTGATAGGTGGAATGTGTCAAGTAACTATTAGAAGGTGATCGATTAAAGGGTTCAAGTTCTTTCAAATAACCAAATCTGAAGTGACCTCTTGAGAGAGTTTGGCCAAATTGGGATAAAATGGGAGCTTTAGTTACAATCTCTTTAAATCATTTATGTAATTTGTATATAAAAAAAAGAGTTTGAGAAAGTATTTACTTTTCTCAAACCTACATTTCCCCCCTTCTTTTCTTACAATAATTTTTCAGTGTGTGATGAGAATCATATGCTTGAGTTGTTTTCGGCTGATGTTATTTTAACTTTTTATCAAGCATAAAGTTTTTGAGAAAGCGTAGGTTCAAATGTGAGCCTGAGTTAAATACTTGGGAAAATGCACTGTTGTAATGAGAGCTGGCTTTTCCTTTTCTCAATCTCGTTAATTTATTATTTGCTTGCTGGTTCTTTGACTTTTGGCTGAACCTTACGGAGTAGTTACTTCTAAAATTGTTTCATGCCATTATTTTGTAATTAAATTAATTTGGAACTTTTGCCATCATTTTCAACTTCTGTACTCTTTTGTATTTATTTTATTTTGCCTTTGCTCTATGTGAATTTGAAAAAAATTAAGATTTAAAAAATCATTTTATAAATGGCTAGAATTTATTTATTTATTTATTACAGTAGTCATCTACCCCTTCCCCCCACCCCCCACCCCTCCATGGTTCTGCTTTTTGTGGTTTCAGTTACCTGAAGTCACCCATGGTCAGAAAATATTAAATGGGAAATTTCAGAAATAAATAATTCATAAGTTTTAAATTGTGTGTCTTCTGAGTAGCATGATGAAATCCCATTCCATCCTGCTCTGTCCCTCCTGGAAAGTGAATCATCCCTTTGTCCAGTGAGTCCACACTGTATACACTACCTGTAGTCACTTAGTAGCCCTCTCAGTTATCAGATCCACTGTCCTGGTATTGCAGTGTTTGTGTTCAAGTCCCTCTTGTTTTACGTAATAATCGCCCCAAAGCAAAAGAGTAGTGATACTGACAATTCGGTTATGGCAAAGAAAAGCCATAACATGCTTTCTTTAAGTGAAAAAGTATGTGTGTATAGGGGAAAACAATGTATATACCCACTGGGGGTCTTGGAATGTATCTCCTGTGGATAAGGGGAGAATACTGTATATAATTATTTATATAATGAAATCTGTATCAGTTTAAAAAGTAAATGAATGAAATGGTATATACATTCTAGTTTTTCATGAGTTTAAAAGTAAACCTTATTGAACATTTTATATACTAGCCTGAAGGTAATAGGTATATTTACAGAAGTATTTCCAGGTGTCACTTTTGAGCCTGGTGAACAATTACATCTCTTAATTTATCTAAGACTATAGGATAGTAGGATAGATTTTGTGAAAAACAAGAGTCCTTTAGTAATTCAGGCCTCAGACCTTGTGAAATTTTCTTTGATTTAAGACTGTAATTTCCTAGCGTTAATATTGAGAGATGTCTTTGACAGTGTTCTCCTTTGTTCTTCATATCTTAACAAGAACTTTAGAGACAAGTTATATAGTTTTTTTTTTTTTAAAAAGGATATGAAGTAATCTAGAGACTACAAAGAATAATGTGTGTGCTGTTTTCTTTTTATATTTTTTGACATTTACCTGTTTATAAAATCAACCTCTGTTACTTATGCAGATCTCTTGATGTCTCCTTAGTGATATTGCTGTTTTCATTTAAAAATATTGGTCATATTTATTCAGCAAATGTTTGGAGTAGTTACTATGTACTAAGCATTATACTAAGTATCGGGGATTATTGGAGAATAATGAAGATGATTAATTTTGACTCAGACATGACTGAAACATTTAAATCTTAGATTCAAATCTCAACATCATTCTTAAAGCATATATTATCATCTTTGGAGTCAGATTCTGGGGGTTCTTTTCACTTAGATGAGGCTCTGGTCATTGGCATTTTTCAAAAGTTCAGATAAGTTATTGTTTTATCTTTCCTCCTCCCCCCCCCCCCCAATAGCATTTATGCCATTAACTTACATATTTCTGGCATGTGGACTAGGCTATCTGGATATAAGGGGCAATGTTCCTGCAGCTTTTTTTCCATAAAGAACTAGACCCTGGCATCTGAAAAAAATGTGCTAATCATTGTGCTAAATTGAGATCTGGCACAATTCAATGTATTTATGTATCTAAAACTATGCGCACATGCCATAGTTTTTCTGTATAGCTATATGGTTATGTTTGTTAAGTTTATTTATAAAGTACAGTAGGTCCTTGGGTTACGTCGGAGATCCGTTCCTATGGTGCGACATAACGTGATTTTTGCCATAAGTCAGAACCCACCTACAGAAGCACCTATGTCACTCACATGGAGCACATACACAGCAGTAATGAAGGGAAACAGTAAAAAAAAAATTAAAAAGAAAGCTAACAATTCCTGACCTTTACTTGTGGTAAATAAATAATAAAAAACATAAAGCACATATGTACATA